TATTTCTCAAAGGTACACGTTCACATGGTATATGGTTTCATAAAGGTCCTCTCACTCTATCCGCCTACTCTGACGCAGACTGGGCTGGCTGCACTTTTGATAGGAGATCCACGGGTGGATTTTGTGTGTTTCTTGGCTCCAACTTAGTGAGCTGGAGTGCTAAAAAGCAGCCTACAGTCGCTCGTTCGTCTACTGAAGCTGAATATCGATCCCTGGCTCACACTGCTGCTGAAGTTACATGGATCTGCAAAGTCTTTCGAGATTTTGGTTTCTCCTCCTCTGTTAAACCTACCATTTGGTGTGATAACAGTTCTGCTATCTCCCTTGCATCAAACCCTGTTTTTCATGCCAGAACCAAACATGTGGAAATTGATTATCATTATATCCGAGAGCTGGTTCTTGCAAATCTGGTTACAGTTCAGTATGTTTGCAGCCAAGACCAGATAGTTGATATTCATACTAAATCTTTGTCTAAGAATCGGTTCCTCTTTCTTCAATCCAAGCTTTCTCTTGGTACTCCTAATCTTTCCAAGCTCAGCTTGAGGGGGTGTAAAGATAAAGATGCCAAGTCATGACTCATGACAGCTCATTTAGTTTGTTACGCTGTTATGTTTGTTACAGCAGGTTGTTAGGGGAAGCTTAGTACAGCCTTGGTTATATATATACACCTCAAATGTAAATGTAATTAAGTAAGAAAAGTCAGTAAATGAGAAGAGGATTATTCAGTAAAACTATTCTTTTGTTTTCCTTTGTTTCTCTGGTTCCTTTGTTTCTCTTTACTCAAGTGAATAATAGAACATCAGATTGATTTCCTCCACATACCTGCTACACTATGACTATGAGATACAAATTTAAATCCACATAAAATCGCCAGTAAAGACATGAATGCATTACGTGGTGAATTTGAACACACCTTGTTACAAACACCTGTGAAACGTTAATTAATGAACTTTCCTAGAAGTTTAGGTTGACTGACTCTAATGAATTGGTTGATTAATCAGCTCCTGTGGTCCCATTGACTAAAGAACATTACGAGGAAAATTTGGCCAGCTGCTGGCCGAAAGTACTAGCATATCCTGCTACTGGCCTCAGTTTTTCTTGTCCTCTGACTCCCATTTGTTTTCAGCAGAATGGAAAATAAAATCCATACTATTGCTGCTGCTGCTGCCTGAATTGAACATTGCATCAGCCAAATCCACTACAGGAAAGTCAACTTCTTTACCGTAACGCGTGGTGGTGGATGTGCCTACACCATCACCACCGCCATGGTCGCCACCTATTATCCTGCTGCTGCTGCCGCCGCCTCCTCTAATTGGGTTAAAGTCCATGGAAAGCCATAGAGATGCTGTAGGAGGGTCAGCGGTTGTGGTAGTCGCTAGGGTTTGGGCCATACTCTCTTGTGTAGCATTATGATGTTCTGCTGATGGTGGTGGAATTGAAGGTGCAGTGGCTGACATGTGACATGTATGTTCACCCCTGTACATTACTTCAAATGTTAAGGGATCATTGTTAAGCCTCTGGACTTGCTTCTTGGCTGGGCAATTGTAGAGCTTTTGGTGGGTGCACCTATAGTAACTCCTGAAAGAGATGTGTGGTTAATTATTTAATTAATTCATGGTAGTTAATTATGACCCGACATTTAATATAGACAATATATATATATATGGCTAGTTGAATGGAACATTCTCAAGTCAATGCTCCACTCTGGACAGAGGTCTGCGCATTTACTAAGGAGCTGATTGATCAGTGGAATTCAAGACCATTTGCCAAGTTCCAGTCAAAACTATTTGAATGCTGACCAAGTCAATTTTGGTCAACCCCATGAATTTTTCATTCCGCTAATCATAAACAAAGGTAAAAGCTAGCTAGCATAAAAAATAAAATAAATAAAAATTGACACTAATTAATTGTACCAACTTGAATCAAAGAGCTCCAATCTCTGATAATCACTCACTCAAGCTGGCATATATATAATATAAGCTGGTATATTTTTGAGTTGAATGTGTCAAATAAGCTGTAACCTTCAATCCATTTGAATATGATCCTTTTGTTTAGACAAACAATATCGGTGGAGGGGAAATCGAATACAAAACTTCGGGTGAAGTTCCTTATGTCAATATGAAAAGGAAAAAAAATTAATTACCTTGGGAACCTGGAGCCCATGATCTCCTTCTGACCATATTTTCTCCAAGTGAAGCCATCCTCTGGTGGGATTTCTGTATTTCCAATCCGAGGTGCTGGAACTGTAATTTTGCTGATTAACCCCTGATCCTTCCTATTTAATTAATTAAATGAACACAAAGCTGTTAGCCCAACTGTCCAGAAAGACAATATGTGAACTTGCTTAGCAATTATAACAAAGCTTTTCTTGTGCCTGTAAAACATCAAACATTTGCATGCTTCCAAAACAGTTAGAAAAATGTATTTGGTTCACACAGTAAAAGACAGAAATAGCATATATGCCTTTATATAGGGGTCTTTTTCTGAGAAACAGCTTGGTAATGCTCTTCTGCTTTCTGCACATTTTCCTTAATTCTTCTTCGCAACTTACAAAGGTTGTTTCAAATGACAAAAGCAATAATTCAAGACATTGTTTTTAATTGCATGTGCAAACTAAGATCAAATAGAAAATTTACATAATCTAAGACTACACAGTTACCTTCTTCTTGCTCTTTGTGAGGATGATGAAGCAATGTTCGTGTCAGAAGCTGATACTATATCCATTGCCTGAAGGCCCTTAACCTCTGCATCATCGTCATCGATGCAGCCTCCAATCTTAGCTTCCTTCTGATCAGCTACAAGTTGGGTTGCATAACTAGACCTCAGCCATTCTTGTACATGACTTGTACCAATCTGCTGCTGGTGCACAAGAGTAAGCATGTTGTGCAGACTTGAAGAAGTACTTGGATCTTGACCATACACTCTCTCTCTGGCTGTAACAAATTTCTTTGTGATCTCATCCAAGGAGTTTGAGAGCAAGTTGGGCTGGTTGGCCAAGTTGTGTAGGTTTGATTCGAGGTCTCTGGCTAACTCACAAGCCTGAAGGATCAAAGAAATGGTGGTTTCATCCATGGCTTCTAGCTGCTGTTTTGGTTCTTTTTGGCTGGTCTTTGATTTGAACATGTTATGGTGGTGTGGAAATTTAAAAGGGAGCTGAATATAAGCTTTTGTGAGGCTTCTGTGTTGGTGCACCATTAAGAAAGAAAGGCTGAGGAAATGATTCAATGGTATTTGTGTTTCTTTTACACGGTACAAAAATATCTGGGAAAGTATGCATCTACGACTTGGTCTTGGTCAGATGGTCTCTATTTGGGATTTCAAACCATTCTGTTTCTCTTCCTTTTAGTCTAGAAGAAGACCTTGCTTCATTGAAACCAATTTTGTTGGACCTTTTTTTCTTTCCTTCTGAGGTTTGAAGTTATTAACTTATTGCCTAGAGTATTGAGGAAATTAATTAAAGGAAAATGTTACTCAACTAGTTGCTATGGTAATTTGTGTTTGAAAACCCTTGCCCCGACGTTGAAGGTACCTCCTGACCAATGGTCATCCATTAGTCGAAACTGGACCGTCTCATGGACCAATCAGCGCAGTCAAGATTCCATGGGTCCCATCCATCGTTTCCATGAAAAAATGTGAGATGAAGAGGACGAATTTTTTCTGTAATGGTTGCATTGCATCATTACATTGTGTTATCAATTCACTTATGTTATAACAAGTGTATGAATATATCTATAAAATTTATATAATTAGGTATCTATTATGTCGCTCACTCATATAATGACACATAAGTTAATAACATTACAGTACAATCAAACCGTGACACGCAAATATTTTGCGACAAAGAAAATTTTTACATGTGTTCACAACTAAAAATCTACCTAAAACGCACCCAAGATTGTTAAGAACAAAAAAAAAAAAGGCTTCAACACAAGTCCCCTCGCATATTATAACATAATAGGGTATGAATCTTTAAAGCAATCTCATTTTCTTCTCAACTTCACCCTCACCCAATTTTGGTGTGATCAAACCTGACCACCATGCAATTACCACTCTTTATCAAACATCTACCAAGAACCAAACCCTAAAAACCTTCAAGTAGCAAGTCCTGTTGCTGCAAACTCATTCAAAGGTTGACTTCTTTGGGTGCTAAGTAGAATATTGGATATGTCCCTAGCAAGCATGAACAAGGGCATGCCATTGCAACCACCAGTCTTTATCAATTGCAGGTGGCAATAAGCTATGAAAACTAGATACTGAACAAAGAGGGCCCACAAACTATATATATATCAATTGAAAATTAGATTACCAGGATTAGTAATAATCAAGAATGTGATCTTTTGTTTTTGGTTTGAAATTGAAACCCAAAGGGGAAATTTTATTAATCAGAAGAAGACAATGCACACATAGATGTAGAAAGATATTCAAGTGAGATTTTGATTTCTTCTCCTCTCAGACTCTCAGTGAGATTTTCTCCAGAGTTAAGAATTTGGTTACCCAATAAAAAAAATAGAAAAAAGAGGCAAGAAATATTTGTAATTTTCATTTTGATAAGTTATAATATCACCGGAAATGCAAGATGTACATATATTTTAGCCGTCCGGCTAAACTATTGCGTTTTATATATGTAGTATAGCCGGGCGGCTATACACGGCCTTTTTTAAATTTATTTCTCAAAAATATTATATCCGAACGACTGTATTCGGTTTTATTAATCTTACTAAACAGGGTATAGCCGGGCGGCTCAACTTATAGCCGATCGGCTTTATTTTATTTAACACGTGGCGCCTCATTGTATAGCCGACCGGCTATACTCTGTTTTAAAAAATAATATAGCCGCTCGGCGAGACTAGATTTTAAAATTGTTTTAAGAAATACTATGCCCTAATATAGAAATAGTAGAGCATGTAAAAACGTGTTTTTTTCTTTCTAAAATTAGTAAGTTTGGAGGGTAAAACTGAAATGGTAACACAGTGTCTGTTTTTACAGGTGAGCCAAATCTTGGAGACTGCTAAAATCCTATGATTCTCATAATTCCGTTTGATTAAACGTTGTCAGAGAAAGTGATACAGAGACAAAGACAAAGATGGGTCACAGAGAAAGCGTCAGGTTTGATCTGTGTTCAAAATGGTATATAATAATTTTGATGCTTATGCACTTGATTATTTTAGCTGCTGCTTCGATCCATGAATACCAAGACGATTCGTTTATTCGTCGTTCCAATTCCTTCTTCTTCCATGGAGGAAGTGAAGGTCTCTATGCTTCCAAACTTGACTCTGATGATGGCAAGTCTGCTTCTGAAGATAAGCCCCTCATTGGCAAGTCTTTCATCAGGTAAATCAAAGCTGCCATTTCCCTGTTTTTAGTTTTTGTTTATGAGCCAATGAGCCATGGATGTTCCTGATCTGTTTGTTTTAGGGGAATGAATGATGGGTTCTCTTTATTCTGTTATTGGTAATTGTTTTGATTAGGCAAAAGGGAATTATTTTGAGTTTTTATCTCTTCAAAGCTTGGGTTTATGGATTGAATGTGCAATGCCTCTCATTCAGTGCTTGATTGATTTCTTTCAATAAGGGCTGGCTCTTACCTGCCAGTGCTAGATACCTTGAAATTGAAATCTAGGACAAAAAAAGAATGAATTAAACCCTAATGGCTGTGTTTTGGGGTACCCCTTTTTGTTTTCCTTTTTTCTGTTGGGCTTTTACAAGAAGACAATGAGAGAATGTCACTGATGGCTGCTCTATGGGAAATTCATTGATTAAACATGTTTTTATCAAATGAGGTCTTTTGTAAGTTTCTGTGTATGAACCAAAGAGTCGAAGGGTTTATTCTTCCTTGCCATATGTAAATTCAGGTTTGAATCGATCATCTTCCGAAGAACCAAGGAATCTGCTGAAAAGAAGAATGAGATGCAGCAGAGGACTGGGTTGGTTGAGGCTATTGTACTCGAAGTTAGGGACCGGGAGAAGATTGGAGGTTCTTATTTGAACTCTGAGGCAATATGCTGCACCCCAGAGCTATCCAAGGATGGTTCCTGCAAGGTTGGAGAGGTTATCATCCAACAAAACCCAGACAACCCTGATGGGCCAAAAAGGATGCAGACCTTCTTTGAGGGGAAAAATGAAGAGGCTAACATGGATATCCAAACTATTGAGATCAACAGCACTGGAATGTACTATCTCTATTTTATGTTCTGTGATCCAGAACTTGTGGGCACATTAATCAGTGGAAGAACGGTTTGGAGGAACCCTGATGGTTATTTACCTGGAAAAATGTCCCCACTGATGACATTTTTTGGCCTAATGTCTTTAGCTTACCTTGTCCTGGGTCTTCTCTGGTTTCTCCGCTTTTTACAGTATTGGAAAGATATAATACAATTGCACTACCACATCAGTGCTGTAATTGGTCTTGGAATGTGTGAAATGGCCCTTTGGTATTTTGAATACGCAAATTTCAATTCCACTGGAACCAGACCAATGGGAATCACCATATGGGCAGTAACCTTCAGTGCTGTTAAAAAAACTGTCTCCCGGCTTCTTCTTCTGGTGGTTTCAATGGGCTATGGTGTTGTGCGGCCAACTCTCGGTGGTATAACCTCGAAAGTACTTCTTCTTGGCGTGACATATTTTGTAGCATCAGAAGCACTTGAGCTTGTTGAACATTTGGGGAACATCAACGACTTTTCTGGAAAAGCAAGGCTTTTTCTGGTGTTACCGGTTGCTCTCTTAGATGCCTGTTTTATTCTTTGGATCTTTTCATCGTTATCTAAAACTTTGGAGAAGCTTCAGGTAACCTTATTTTTCATGTTCATCCTTTCCGACATTGACAAGGCTATGTGTCTCTCCAGTAGTTTACAATTGTTGAAGGGAAGGGAATAAGTTGTCGTGCTCATTACTAAAGTTTAAGAGTTATGCAGGTGATATATAGACATCAGACACATGAAACTCTTTGGGTAAAATATAAGTATTTAAAATTAAGAAAACCTTATCAGTACATGAATTTACATTGTGGCTTGACCTTCATCCACACAGACATTCACTAACTAATAGGCATATTTCCTATCTTGGATGTGTGTGTGCATTCTAGAAACCTAGCCAACATTTTTTCAATGCAAGGGGCACAATTGACTCCATTCTCTCTTTTTCTGCATTACTGCCTCCGAAGATCTTAGAAGGTATTCAGTGCTTAGGAACTGGGTGCCATCTATATATTTGAGATGTTTACTGTGGAACAATTTTTTTCGTGCCTGTTACATACATGGAATGATTCATTTGCTTGCCTTTAGAATGCAACACTTCGTATTCAGCCTGAGGAAACTAATTCATATGTCTCTTTGTCTAATGTGCGCGCAGATTCGAAGAAGCATGGCCAAACTTGAGCTGTACCGGAGGTTTACTAATTCCCTTGCAGTATCAGTGCTGCTCTCTGTTGCTTGGATTGGTTATGAGGTCAGTTTTGTTTTATTTTCTGTTCCCGTGGTCTTATATTTCTTCCAACTGTCATTTTATAGTGATCGATAACTCACAAATAGTTCCTGCCCAACTGTCATTTCGTCAAATAATATCTTTTTCGCTTCGTTTTCTTTTGTGTATGATAGTATGATTTGTGCAATTAAGAATTGAACTTCTGATCTGTCTTTTCAGTTGTATTTCAACGCGACTGACCCATTGAGTGAACTGTGGCGAAGAGCCTGGGTCATCCCAGCTTTCTGGACTCTGCTTGCGTATTTGCTGTTGGTGGTGATATGTGCTCTTTGGGCTCCATCTCATAATCCAACTGGGTATCCTCTAAATTCTTACCTCCTTTTAATTGCATGCTACAAATTTCTGAGTTTGCTTCAGTTGGCTTTTGCTTTTATGGCCGCTTGTATAACTTCAAAACATGCATTAAAATGCTTTCCAAGAGAGAAGAAAAGAACTTTTAAATGAAATGAACTTTATGTGACGTTCTGCAGACGAGCACAGGAGCTGCCCAGCATACAAAATCTAATAAACCAAACCTTGATGAGTATATAATACACTGATGATTAAGTGAAGTTATTTTCCATTGGTGTTGCATGTCTGAACTGTGTTTTCTTATGTTTCCTGAGTTGTTTAATATAATGGACAAGACAACATATCATTCAATTTCGTTAAGATTTTGATTCTGTCCCAAGTTTCAACTCTTGTGTGCACAAACATATCCCAAATGATTGTCAATTGTTGTCTTCTCTCCCATAGGATAGGGTACTGCAGCTTTCTTAAGGAATGTTTAATAGACCAGCTGAGGAGACTTTGAATTTTGACTAATGTGGGCTTGTTGTCCAGATATGCATACTCGGAAGAGACTGGGGATGACTTTGACGAGGAGGGTATCTCGCTAACCGGAAGCGGAATTAAGGTGGCCGGCGGTGACTTGGCAACCAAGCTAGAAAGAAAGGAAAGGAAGGCATCAAGTGCAGCAGAGCATCACGTGTTTGGGCTTGGGGAAGATCTAGAGGAGGACAAGAGAGAATAATCAATGACCCTCTTTTCTTCCTGTGTTCTTTTTGAGTCTCTCTGGATACCAAATATTCATAGGCAGGAATATGTCTTTACTATACTGTCATACCTCTTGTGTCCCTTGTAGAAAGAAAGGTCTAAAAGAGAAAGAAAAAAAGGGTGAAAAAGAGAAGAGGAAGGAACTGGTGGGGTTGCATTAGAGAAAGCTAGTAAATTTGGGGAAGAAATTAGACAAAAGTTAGGTACTCACGTGAACTGCTGGTTAAGTAGGCTAAAGTGATATGAGTATTTCCTTCGGCAATTGTTTTTAATTTTTAATTTTAGGGTCATTTTCTTTGGTAATTGTTGTAACTTGTAAGGCACTCATATTTTCCTTTTTCTTTTTTCTTTTTAACTTTTGGTCCTTGGCAGATTGCCATAGGCCCTTGCTTTTATTCCAAGGATAACAAAAAAGGTGATTTAAAAAAAAACAAATTACAAGTGGAGTAGCGAAAGAAACCACCACAACCAAGAAATTGTGAGCAATAAAGCACTAGCTAGCCACTGTGTTATGATGTATGCTGATAAGGATTCAACCTCTAATCAACCAACAAACCAACCAACCAACAACCAACCATCAATCCCAGATTAACTTTTGAACACAGAGTGAGAGAAATCAAAACAAAGGGTTTGAAGAAGAAGAGTTCACCAAAGTTTACTGTTTTGATTGGATTGGATTGGAAGGCAACAAGTGTACGGCTGGCTGGCTCTTCAAACACGGCAAAGGGTGAGGCTTTCGGCACAGAAACGAAACCAAATTATTATCCTTCACACACATCACATGGTCCTGTGAGATTTCAGAGACAGATGGGCTGCTTTACACAACGCCACGCCAACTGCCTCACCACCAAAGCTGCAAACTTTAGATATCGATTGAGAGATGCATAAAAAACACGCAGATGCTAAGATGCCCACCTCACCAAACCACCGCAGAGAAGAAGAAATAAACATCAAACCCAAACCACCGCCGCCACCACCACCACCAAACCCTAACCCAAACCAAATGGAGCTTCCTGAAGACATCGTCGCCGACATACTCAAGAGACTGCCTGCAAAATCTCTGGTCCGATTCAGGTGCGTTTGTAAACCGTGGTGCTCTTTGATCACGAGCCCAAGTTTCGTAAGAACCCATCTGAAATTAAACAGATCCCAGTTTCAATCCGACCTCGGAACAAGCACCCGCATCATCTTGTCGCGTTATTGTGATACCCTTTTGTCCATGGTCTCTGAGAACAACAATGTTGTTGAGACAGTGGAGCTGGACTTTGCTCTGGTTCGAAACTTGCCTTATTATGTAAAGGGTCACTCTGATGGGTTGCTCTGCTTGGTTATCAATGATGGGTTTGGAGGCATGGCTGTTATTTACAACCCATCAATCCAAGAGTACAGGAAGCTCCCTTCTCCTTGTAATTTCCGAAGTACGAGGGAGGTGCTTGGTTTGGGTTTTGACTCCTCCATCGATGATTATAAGGTTGTCAGAGTCCCATCCAACTATTGCCGGCTGAAATGTCCTGGATACCAGCCTCAAGTTGAGGTCTTGGAGCTCAAAACCAATTGTTGGAGGAAGATCCCAGATGAGGACACGCCACCTTTTTTCATCGAACACATTTTTCAGGCAACTGAGGTGAATGGTGGGCTGTATTGGCTGGCTGAGGATCATGATGCTTCGAGATGCGTGATTCTGCGTTTTGATTTGGCTGAGGAGAAGTTTAAGGTGGTGCTGCCCCCACCCGATGAGAGTTGTAAGAGCATATCATGGATTGGGGCTTTGAAAGACTGGCTTTGTGTGGTGCACACTAGGAGGTTGAGTGATGTTCATGTTTGGGCAACCAAAGATGACAAGAATTGGACAAAGATCATCACCACTTCGAGGTTTCCTAGGATCCCCGGACGAGACCCTTTTCTCGACTCTTTTCGATACATGCCCTTGTGCTATACTGAGAAGGGAGCTGTGCTGATGAGTGTTAGAGGGGAGAGGTTTGTTACCTTTGATACAAGAGATAACACATTTGAACATGTTGACATCCGAGGTGCACAGCATTGGTTGCAGGAGACCGTGTACTGCGAAAGCCTAGTTTCGCCAGGTGGGGGTGGGAATCCGACTGAGTCCGCGGTGGCGTTGGGTTCTGATGTTGGTGTGGCAGAGGGAGAGCAAGATGAAGACCAGACAGCAGTTGGGGACAGCACAAGCAGCAACAGCCTTAGGCAACTGCTTGTTGGTTTGAAGAGGGAAGTGCACAACTTACTGGTTTGTAGCGTTGGCCACAGGAACATCAATGATGATAATTGAGAAGACTTTGCTACTTTGCAGACGAGAACTTCTTAACTCAGAGTTTTATGTTGCCTCTGCTTGTTGCTGGTTGTATTGTACTATTTCTAGTCTTTGTTTTGTTTTTTCTGTTATCCATCCCCACGAGAGAGAGTTTTTCTTTTATAAGAAACACAATGACCCACAGGGTTATTGACTCCAGGAATTATACGGTCAAGTCAACTTTTTTAATATGCTTTGTTGCATCCATGGCCATCTTCATATGGGCAAATTGGTGGACAGAAATTTTATGCGTCTAATCTAAAACAACAGGTTCATGGTCAACGTCAAGAATCATGTTACTTCGATGGCCAGGATGTTTCCGAGCCATGTTTTTTGAGAATTGTTAAATGCAGAGACCAACTTGTTGCATCCAGAGCTCGTGTGAAAGAGAAACTAAAACTGCCGTGGATGCAGCAAACTCAACTCTGGATTTAACATCTTATTTATTGTTGGTAATCTCGAATTCCATACAAAAGAAAATGCATACCTTCAGCTTCAGTTCCAAAAAAAGAAAAACTGATGCTCATGATTTCTATCTACTCAGGGCAAGTAATTCAGACACAAGTATTAGATCAGATCAACAAGATTTAAGCCCTTTCTTTTAAATTGCTCAATTTGAAAAATTCTGGAGAAGTATAATCAGTAATTCACAAAATTGCTCTCCTGCTCAAATTTAGGTGGGGATGTGAGCACAAAGAGAATGAGTCTCACTTTTTGTCGAACTCTGCTGTATCTAAAAATCTGCAGAAACATTGTATGCTGAACTCTGAACTCTATGCTGAACACTCTATGCTTAAATTTGCAAAAACCCTATTTTCTGGAAGTAGTCCATAGGTGGTTCAGACTTCTTCAACCTACAATTTAAATTCAAAATCTAATGAATAACAAACACGTATCGGAAGAAACTCAAAATTGAACAACAAACAAAAGCAGGGTTGCAACTCTTTTTCTTCTTGTTGTCTTATGCAATGGGGAGGGAGTAGAGAAGGACCTGAGGGAGGCTCATCAGTTCAAGAACAGCTTTCTTCGGGGTCAGTTCGTTGTCGATAATTCGAGCTACTGCAGTCAAAACTGGCATCTTTACATTATATTTCTGCGCTAGTGCAATCACAGCTCCAGCTGTTGATACACCCTCTGCCACCTAGAAAACACAGACAGCCGGCCACATCAGTGAGCACAATTTAAACTTTTAACAGCTACATCAAAACATCATTAAGCTTAAGCACCTGATTCATGGAACTTAGTATATCATCAAGTTGCTCCCCTGATCCAAGACGAACCCCAACTGTTCTGTTTCTGGAAAGGTTCACAAAACATGTAAGCATAATGTCTCCAATTCCTGATAGACCAGTAATTGTTGTCGGCTTCGCACCCATCTTCAGGAGATAAATTGGAGGGAAAAACAATGAGAGAACCGCAGCTAAAGCATATGTACTTATAAGTTAACAGTATGGGATTTACAATTTACAAAACAAGTAGACAAATAGGAAAAAGATAGAAACCAAGGCAACAACCAGGGACATAAAACACCAATTATCAAAATAAGGTACCTTAGTAGCCAGCCACCTTATCTCTGAGCATCCTTGTGCAACAAGAGCTGTCTTACAATTATTACCAAGATTCATCCCATCCACAATCCCTGCAGCTATAGCGAGCACATTCTTGAGAGCACCTGCAACTTCTACCCCTATGACATCGCTGGAATTTATCAGAGGTTATGAGCTGGGTCCGTCCACTTAAATCTATAAACATTTATTCTCATTACACATAGGATCCATGCTATTTGAGATTGGAAGACTTAGATATGCAAGCTGACTAGGCATTCCAAAACCAAATTATATACATAGAAAAAAACTTAATTGCACTTAATCTAGCTGTTTACTGAAGTGAAGATCCACAACCTCGAGGTGCTGATTCTTAGATAGTTACAAGCTAGTAGCTGCTGAGCTGCATTTGCCAATTTTTTGTCTTTTGACGCTACAACCATTGCTAGAAAAGCAAAAAGTAAGAGCAAATCATGATTAGTACCTATGAAACATGAATCAGTTGAACGCATCGATGGAACAATGTTATTTCTTATTCCACACACCTGTTGGTAATTTATTCATCAGCTCCAGAGCAAAAGAGGGCCCTGATAGTGCAATGAAAGGTTGCCGAGGATTGTTCAATGCTTGGGGGATGAGTTGAGACATGGTCCTCAACGTATTGAGCTCTAAGCCCTTGCTAACTGATATGAAGGGCAAGCCTGGATAAACATGTTCTGCAATTCCTTCAAGAAAGGATGAGCTGAACTGCAATGTCACAGACAAAGATTCAGGTACGTGCCCCAGACTAAAGTATATTCCAAATATGAGAATTAAACAGTATACCAATCTGTCAAAGACTCATATTCTAATAGGAAAAGGCTTAATCCAAACATAGCATGCACTGGGATTCATATGAAAACAGAGGAATGGGGCTGACGAACCTGCACAGGGACTGCATGAAGACAATAGTCAGCACCAAGCAAAGCAGTTTTGGCATCAGTTGTGGCAATTACATTGTCTGGTAGCTTGTGTTCTGGGAAGTACTTACTGTGAAGACAGAAAAACCAATTACATTTCAGAAGAAAAGTTGGCTTCCGAAAGAGT